GAACGATGAGTGTGTGGTACTAGAACGATGAGAGGGTGGTACTAGAACGATAAGTGTGTGGTACTAGAACGATGAGTGTGTGTGGTACTAGAACGATGAGAGGGTGGTACTAGAACAATGAGTGTGTGGTACTAGAACGATGAGAGGGTGGTACTAGAACGATGAGTGTGTGTGGTACTAGAACGATGAGTGTGTGTGGTACTAGAACGATGAGTGTGTGTGGTACTAGAACGATGAGAGGGTGGTACTAGAACAATGAGTGTGTGGTACTAGAACAATGAGTGTGTGGTACTAGAACGATGAGAGGGTGGTACTAGAACGATGAGTGTGTGTGGTACTAGAACGATGAGTGTGTGGTACTAGAACGATGAGTGGGTGGTACTAGAACGATGAGTGGGTGGTACTAGAACGATGAGTGTGTGGTACTAGAACGATGAGTGTGTGGTACTAGAACGATGAGTGTGTGTGGTACTAGAACGATGAGAGGGTGGTACTAGAACAATGAGTGTGTGGTACTAGAACAATGAGTGTGTGGTACTAGAACGATGAGAGGGTGGTACTAGAACGATGAGTGTGTGTGGTACTAGAACGATGAGTGTGTGGTACTAGAACGATGAGTGGGTGGTACTAGAACGATGAGTGGGTGGTACTAGAACGATGAGTGTGTGGTACTAGAACGATGAGTGTGTGTGGTACTAGAACGATGAGTGTGTGGTACTAGAACGATGAGTGTGTGGTACTAGAACAATGAGTGTGTGGTACTAGAATGATGAGTGTGTGGTACTAGAACAATGACTGGGTGGTACTAGAACAATGACTGGGTGGTACTAGAACAATGAGTGGGTGGTACTAGAACGATGAGTGTGAGGTACTAGAACGATGAGTGGGTGGTACTAGAACAATGAGTGTGTGGTACTAGAACAATGAGTGTGTGGTACTAGAACAATGAGTGTGTGGTACTAGAACGATGAGTGTGTGGTACTAGAATGATGAGTGTGTGGTACTAGAACAATGAGAGGGTGGTACTGGAACAATGAGTGTGTGGTACTAGAACAATGAGTGTGTGGTACTAGAACAATGAGTGTGTGGTACTAGAACAATGAGTGTGTGGTACTAGAACAATGAGTGTGTGGTACTAGAACAATGAGTGTGTGGTACTAGAACGATGAGTGTGTGGTACTAGAACGATGAGTGTGTGGTACTAGAACAATGAGTGCGTGGTACTAGAACGATGAGTGTGTGGTACTAGAACGATGAGTGGGTGGTACTAGAACAATGAGAGGCTGGTACTAGAACGATGAGTGGGTGGTTCTAGAACAATGAGAGGGTGGTGCTAGAACGATGAGTGGGTGGTACTAGAACGATGAGTGTGTGGTACTAGAACGATGAGTGGGTGGTACTAGAACGATGAGTGGGTGGTACTAGAACGATGAGTGTGTGGTACTAGAACGATGAGTGGGTGGTACTAGAACGATGAGTGTGTGGTACTAGAACGATGAGTGTGTGGTACTAGAACGATGAGTGGGTGGTACTAGAACGATGAGTGTGTGGTACTAGAACGATGAGAGGCTGGTACTAGAACGATGAGTGGGTGGTTCTAGAACAATGAGAGGGTGGTGCTAGAACGATGAGTGGGTGGTACTAGAACGATGAGTGTGTGGTACTAGAACGATGAGTGGGTGGTACTAGAACGATGAGTGGGTGGTACTAGAACGATGAGTGTGTGGTACAGAAACGATGAGTGGGTGGTACTAGAACGATGAGTGTGTGGTACTAGACGATGAGTGTGTGGTACTAGAACGATGAGTGGGTGGTACTAGAACGATGAGTGTGTGGTACTAGAACGATGAGAGGCTGGTACTAGAACGATGAGTGGGTGGTTCTAGAACAATGAGAGGGTGGTGCTAGAACGATGAGTGGGTGGTACTAGAACGATGAGTGTGTGGTACTAGAACAATGAGAGGGTGGTACTGGAACAATGAGTGTGTGGTACTAGAACGATGAGTGGGTGGTACTAGAACGATGAGTGTGTGGTACTAGAACGATGAGAGGCTGGTACTAGAACGATGAGTGGGTGGTTCTAGAACAATGAGAGGGTGGTGCTAGAACGATGAGTGTGTGTTTGGTACTAGAACGATAAGTGTGTGGTACTAGAACGATGAGTGTGTGGTACTAGAACGATGAGAGGGTGGTACTAGAACGATGAGTGTGTGGTACTAGAACGATGAGTGTGGAGTACTAGAACGATGAGTGTGTGGTACTAGAACTATGAGTGTGGAGTACTAGAACGATGAGTGTGTGGTACTAGAACGATGAGTGTGTGGTACTAGAACGATGAGTGGGTGGTACTAGAACGATGAGAGGGTGGTACTAGAACGATGGGAGGGTGGTACTAGAACGATGAGTGTGTGTGGTACTAGAACGATGAGAGGGTGGTACTAGAACGATGAGTGTGTGGTACTAGAACGATGAGAGGGTGGTACTAGAACGATGAGAGGGTGGTACTAGAACGATGAGTGTGTGTGGTACTAGAACGATGAGTGTGTGGTACTAGAACGATGAGAGGGTGGTACTAGAACGATGAGTGTGTGTGGTACTAGAACGATGAGAGGGTGGTACTAGAACGATGAGTGTGTGGTACTAGAACGATGAGTGTGTGGTACTAGAACGATGAGAGGGTGGTACTAGAACGATGAGAGGGTGGTACTAGAACGATGAGTGTGTGGTACTAGAACGATGAGTGTGTGGTACTAGAACGATGAGAGGGTGGTACTAGAACGATGAGTGTGTGTGGTACTAGAACGATGAGAGGGTGGTACTAGAACGATGAGTGTGTGGTACTAGAACGATGAGTGTGTGGTACTAGAACGATGAGTGTGTGGTACTAGAACAATGAGTGTGTGGTACTAGAACGATGAGTGTGTGGTACTAGAACGATGAGAGGGTGGTACTAGAACGATGAGTGTGTGGTACTAGAACGATGAGTGTGTGGTACTAGAACGATGAGTGTGTGGTACTAGAACGATGAGTGTGTGGTACTAGAACGATGAGTGTGTGGGTACTAGAACGTGAGTGTGTGGTACTAGAACGATGAGTGGGTGGTACTAGAACGATGAGTGTGTGTTACTAGAACGATGAGTTTGTGGTACTAGAACGATGAGTGTGTGGTACTAGAACTGATGAGTGTGTGGTACTAAACAATGAGTGTGTGGTACTAGAACGATGAGTGGGTGTGGTACTAGAACGATGAGTTTGTGGTACTAGAACGATGAGTGTGTGGTATTTTTTTGTACGAACGATGAGTGTGTGGTACTAGAACATGAGTGTGTGGTACTAGAACGATGAGTGTGTGTACTAGAACGATGAGTGTGTGGTACTAGAACGATGAGTGTGTGGTACTAGAACGATGAGTGTGTGGTACTAGAACGATGAGTGTGTGGTACTAGAACGATGAGTGTGTGGTACTAGAACGATGAGTGTGTGGTACTAGAACGATGATGTGTGGTACTAGAACGATGAGTGTGTGGTACTAGAACGATGAGTGTGTGGTACTAGAACGATGAGTGGGTGGTACTAGAACGATGAGTGTGTGGTACTAGAACGATGAGTTTGTGGTACTAGAACGATGAGTGTGTGGTACTAGAACGATGAGTGTGTGGTACTAGAACGATGAGTGTGTGGTACTTGAACGATGAGTGTGAGCACTGCTACAATTATCTAGTTTCGAAAGTAATTTTTTCAATTTATTTGGAAGTGCCATGGGAAATAGAGATAGAGAGAGGAGCGGCCAAGAGGATGAAAGGGAAGAAAATGGAAGAGGTAAATTTACATGGGAAGGAAAAGGGAAAAAATAAGGGAAATGTGACTCTGGGTAAGAAAGAGAAAAATCAAGAATATGGGACGGGACTGTTTGCGTCATCAGGAGCTATGCAATATTGCAAGAGTAGCAACAAGGGGAATGAGAGGAAGTTTTGTCAGAGTAAGGTAGCGTGGTGATGCCAGTCAGTTTCTCTTAGATACAGTCAGAAAAGGAGTGTCCTAACCATTTCTGACCATATCAAGACTGGTCTGTCCTAACCATTTCTGACCATATCAAGACTGGTCTGTCCTAACCATTTCTGACTATATCAAGACTGGTCTGTCCTATCCTTTTCTGACCATATCAAGACTGGTCTGTCCTGACCATTTCTGACCATATCAAGACTGGTCTGTCCTAACCATTTCTGACCATATCAAGACTGGTCTGTCCTAGCCATTTCTGACCATATCAAGACTGGTCTGTCCTGACCATTTCTGACCATATCAAGACTGGCCTGTCCTAACCATTTCCGACCATATCAAGACTGGCCTGTCCTAACCATTTCTGACCATATCAAAACTGGTCTGTCCTAACCATTTCTGACCATATCAAGACTGGCCTGTCCTAACCATCTCTGACCATATCAAGACTGGCCTGTTCTGACCATTTCTGAGAGAAGTTGCCTAGCGTCACCATGCTGTCTTACCGTGAAAAAAATTTCCTCTTATTCTTTCTGTTGCTACTCTTGCAACATTGCACAGCTCACCTTGCTCTGTACTAAAGTGAAAATCACTCGCAATGTTAGTATTATTATTATTACAGTAATAGGGGCACTAAACCCATAGGGGCCATGCAGTGCCTCGGGGAATGGAAGGCCTTCAGGCTTGATTCGAGGCACTGAACACTGGTCCAATTCCTTAGATCAAGATCCCCTCACTAACATCAAGGAACCTTGAGGATTAAGACGCATGCAACAGCCGGGTATCTTTACTGTTGAAACGTTTCGCCTTCATAGTAGGCTTCTTCAGTCAATTAACAGAGGAAGCAGGTGCAGTGTTTGACTGAAGAAGTCTACTGTGTAGACGAAACGTCTCATCACTAGAGATACCCGACTGTTTCACATGTGTCTTAATCATCAATTCGTCAGTATTTTATACCATTCTGAACATCAAGGAACCTTCTATGGTGTTAGTCTGCTTACCTTTCTTTTACTCCTGGCGATCCTATCCATCCTGGCTGGGGTCTCACCGAGGTTCTTCTTGCCCCAGACGACCATGGCAATCCTGGAGTAAGTGAAGATAAGCACCGCCAGTGGCAGAAAGTACTGTAGCAGCATCAGCGCTACGCTGTACGCCATGCGGGAGTCGTTCTCCGCCTGGCTCTCCCCCCAGTCTTCCGTACACACCTGCCTCCCGAAGATCTTGTAGAAGTTGAGGTTGGGCGTGAGGAGGCTGGAGTAGATGGCCACTGGGAGGGTAGTGGCTAGGGAGAGTATCCACACCACTGCTATGATGACCTTTGCCTGGAATCGGGTCATACGGGGTCTGAGAGGGTAAATGATGGCCAGGTAGCGGTCCAGGCTGATGGCCACCAGGGTGTATGCGGAGACGAAGACGGAGACTGCTTGGAGGTAGTTGACAGCCACGCAGAGATGGCCTCCAAATGGCCAATACTTGAGTATCAAAGTGCTCAAGAAGGAGAAGGGGACGCAGAAAATGGCCATCCAGAGGTCCCCTACCGCCAGGTTAGCGATGAAGTAGTTGGTGACGGTGCGCATCTTGGCCGAAGAACACACCACATACACCACGATGCAGTTACCCATCACAGCGAAGACGAGGATGGCGATGTAGAAGATGTAGATGGAGGCGTTAAAGGCTGGGGTGGGAGGGTAATCACACACCCCCTTATTCCACAACAGCAGCACTTCGCTGGCGTTGCAATGGTCACAGGCGAACTCCAATTTGTAGCGGACAGTGTCCGAGTCATTAGGAGAACACAGGTACAGAATATAATCGCTCTCATTCCTTGCGTCCTCTGACAAGGCAATGAAATTGCTCATCCGGAACTCTGCTGTCGCCATTTCAAAGTCTTTTTTTTCTCCTGAAATGTTGATCAAAGAGACTGTTGTGGCCGTTGACGCAACCAGGCAACGGAGTTTTTCTTTGTCTCTCGTTCAGTGTGTAACTTTTCCTGCTCTTGTTTATGTCCGCTTTACAACACACATCACAAAACGAAGCTGGGTTAGTACAGTACCCAACTGTGTCCTTCTTATCAATAATAATCACCTCGAAGCTTGCCTTCTCGCTTGATCTTTATTTTCTTTTACTAATAAATATTATTTTCCACAAACACTCAGACGAAATATACCTTGACATTTACAACTAGTGTCTGTCAAATATCTTGGCCATGGGGTCAAGGGCCTTAAAACACACGCCCTTCACTAATTGTATGTTCTTCCCAGGTATGTTCCTTCTCAGCAACGAACTTAAAATCATTAGCCCTTCTCACTTTGGTGTCTGATGTCCCCCCCTTATCATAATTTAAGTCCCTTAATTCCATTCACTGTTTTAAACGTACTTACGTTTTACTTTTCGTTTATTGGCTGTAATCGAAAAGTATTTCTCACTTTTTCGTCATTGCAATCACTGTTAAAGCTATGTTTCTTATCGTCTAGTGAGCCTGCCGTACCTCCCACAACACAGCACACAAACACACACACAGAGTGTCTACCAAAAGACACCTTCAGCCGTCGTCACTTCGCTGACTCGTCCCAGAGTGGTACTCCTGCCCTGTCAGAGTTACAGACAGTAAGTGTGTCCCGAGACTCGGTCTCTGAGTGATTATCTCACCAGCAAGCTTCCCCGTATCTTTGATCTTATCACCAACCATAATGCACTCCTGAGATCCTCTTCCTTTATCACTTTTTGCTCCTCCTCCTCTTTCTCCTTTCCCCTTTTCTTCTTGGCACGAGCGTGGGGTGCAATCGTTCTTTGATAATGAAGCAAAATTTAATCGGGGTTTACTAGCGAAAAGATAAAAGATAAAAGATAGTGTTGTCTTGACCTGTTAGCTTACACTAGTACCCTTTTATGCCTCAATAACGCTGTTATATTTTCTTTTCCTCTTTTAACTCACTCGGCCACAGCTTCGAGCTGGCTGCGCTATTTCAGGACCATCACACACAGACAATAAACTAATGCGGCTTCCTGGACATAGTGGCTGGTTTTGTTTTACCGTTTTATCATCAGTGCTTAACTCCGTTTTATCATCAGGGATTAACTTCGTTTAATCATCAGTGCTTAACTCCGTTTTATCATCAGGGATTAACTTCGTTTAATCATCAGTGCTTAACTTCGTTTTATCAACAGTGATTAACTCCGTTTTATCAACAGTGATTAACTCCGTTTTATCATCAGTGCTTAACTCCGTTTTATCAACAGTGATTAACTCTGTTTTATCAACAGTGCTTAACTCCGTTTTATCAACAGTACTTAACTTCGTTTTATCAACAGTGATTAACTCCGTTTTATCAACAGTGATTAACTCCGTTTTATCAACAGTGCTTAACTCCGTTTTATCAACAGTGCTTAACTTCGTTTTATCAACAGTGATTAACTTCGTTTATCAACAGTGATTAACTCTGTTTTATCAACAGTGATTAACTCCGTTTTATCAACAGTGCTTAACTCCGTTTTATCAACAGTGATTAACTCCGTTTTATCAACAGTGCTTAACTCCGTTTTATCAACAGTGATTAACTCCGTTTTATCAACAGTGATTAACTCCGTTTTATCAACAGTGATTAACTTCGTTTTATCAACAGTGCTTAACTCCGTTTTATCAACAGTGCTTAACTCCGTTTTATCAACAGTGATTAACTCCGTTTTATCCCCACTGAAGCTCTTGTCGTGTTTTTTTTAAGTCACATTTAATCAATGTTTTTTCTCGTTTAAATATAAATCGACCAAACATTCACATTTCAGTAATAATTTTCCACATAAACATTGTCCCATAAGAACCAAATTTTTTACATATATATTTCCAGCATTATAATTTTATTTTCTGTAAATAAAAATTATGATAAATAAACGATGTTTGAAAACTACTGCATTTATAATTTAGTTGTAAACTTCAGAGTTAATTAACAGTTAATTACTCGTTAATAACCACAACATTAACATATTTAAATTGAGTATTAATTCCCATTGAGTTGTTCATATGTTCACACGTAATTAGCTAAAATTTGAACACGAATGTATATATGATTGAACAATGAGGACTTGTCTCAGGTGTACCGATCAATGTGTACTCTTCAGTTGTCTTGATTTCTGAGTACTTTTCAGCTGTTCTGAACTCTGAGTACTGTTTCAGTTGTCCTGAACTCTGAGTACTGTTTCAGTTGTCCTGAACTCTGAGTACAGTTTCAGTTGTCCTGAACTCTGAGTACTGTTTCAGTTGTCCTGAACTCTGAGTACTGTTTCAGTTGTCCTGAACTCTGAGTACTGTTTCAGTTGTCCTGAACTCTGAGTACTTTTTCAGTTGTCCTGAACTCTGAGTACTGTTTCAGTTGTCCTGAACTCTGAGTACTGTTTCAGTTGTCCTGAACTCTGAGTACTTTTCAGTTGTCCTGAACTCTGAGTACTGTTTCAGTTGTCTTGAACTCTGAGTACTTTTTCAGTTGTCCTGAACTCTGAGTACTGTTTCAGTTGTCCTGAACTCTGAGTACAGTTTCAGTTGTCCTGAACTCTGAGTACAGTTTCAGTTGTCCTGAACTCTGAGTACTTTTTCAGTTGTCCTGAACTCTGAGTACAGTTTCAGTTGTCCTGAACTCTGAGTACTTTTTCAGTTGTCCTGAACTCTGAGTACTGTTTCAGTTGTCCTGAACTCTGAGTACAGTTTCAGTTGTCCTGAACTCTGAGTACTGTTTCAGTTGTCTTGAACTCTGAGTACTTTTTCAGTTGTCCTGAACTCTGAGTACAGTTTCAGTTGTCCTGAACTCTGAGTACTTTTTCAGTTGTCCTGAACTCTGAGTACAGTTTCAGTTGTCCTGAACTCTGAGTACTTTTTCAGTTGTCCTGAACTCTGAGTACTGTTTCAGTTGTCCTGAACTCTGAGTACAGTTTCAGTTGTCCTGAACTCTGAGTACTGTTTCAGTTGTCTTGAACTCTGAGTACTTTTTCAGTTGTCCTGAACTCTGAGTACTTTTTCAGTTGTCCTGAACTCTGAGTACTTTTTCAGTTGTCCTGAACTCTGAGTACTGTTTCAGTTGTCCTGAACTCTGAGTACAGTTTCAGTTGTCCTGAACTCTGAGTACAGTTTCATTGTCCTGAACTCTGAGTACAGTTTCAGTTGTCCTGAACTCTGAGTACTTTTCAGATGTATTGATCTACTCATATTTATTTCAGACGAACATACATTCAATCCAGTGAGAGTAAATATCATATTTGAACATTTAAAAAAAGTGCATTTGTTCACCTCTGTACTTGGGATTTCACGTACGTGGAAAGTTTCAGCATCAGCTTAAATGAGTCAAGTCACGGCTGAGCTTCAGAGATTTCAGGAATGACTGCAATGAATCGCGAGTGAGTTCACTTTTCACGTTCGTGTACGTGATTATTCAAGTACGTGAATAAGATTATTCACGTGTGTGAATAATTTGAGCAAGTTGCATAAAATATCATAATTCCATTGCTGGACCCATTCACAAATTACCTACATTTCGAGAGAAAACGTTTCGGCCCATTCTGGACCATCTTCAGATCACAACTTCAGTAATGAACACATTTTTTTCCAGTTTTTTTTTCAGCTATGTACATATTCCCATGTGTGTTTGTACTCAGTCTAAGTTGTATTGTGTACTTGTATAAATAAAGATTATTGTATTATTATTGTTATTATTATAAGCATTTTTTGAGATATGTAAGCAATGTTAAATTCTATACGCCATATTAAAAATTCCAGTGTGCGTTTTTCTGTTAGAATTCAACGTCACGAGATACGCACATAGCTTTCATTGGCGTACATAAATTTCAGATGCGTACCTAGCTTTCAGATGTGTCTTCTTTAAATTAAACGCACAGGTATGTACAGTTTCCAAAATTTTACATGGGTTTCAGGTGTGTACGTATGTTTTGTATACGTACAGGTAAGCTATCACTTCAACACAGTGTGGTATATAACAGCACAATGTGAAAAGCGTTCACTCTGAAAGCGTTTTCAAGGATCTGATTTTAGAACGCTGAATTCAAAGGTAATTTGGCTACGTTCTTTTCATTAACACGGTAGAACAGGGAACCTCAAGTGGGCTAAGCACAATCCAGTCCTTTATACGCACCAATCAGAGGCTTCCATACTACTGATACACTTGAGAGACCAATCACAGGCCAGATCAGACTATTCTATACGCCAATCAGCGGTCTCATTCAGATATCAGGTGAGGGCAAGGAAGGGTAACTAAAAGGATGGTTGTCGTAGGTTGAGGGTCGACTACGTTAGCTTCGAGGTTGATTTGGTTAGGTTGAAGGAGGACCTGTTCACACTGGAGGAATGATTAACCAAAGGACGAATAAGGCAGAGGCGATGGAGGGATAGTCCTTAGTGGAGGAAGACTGGAGTGACTGGTGTTGTGGAGTCCAGTGACCGTGCAGAAGACAGAGCAGGTGTATATCGGCGTGTCGCGGTACAGGCGTCCCAAGCCTGACTGCCTGCCTGCCTGGCCCCTAACTCTCTCTCTCTCTCTCTCTCTCTCTCTCTCTCTCTCTCTCTCTCTCTCTCTCTCTCTCTCTCTCTCTCTCTCTCTCTCTCTCTCTCTCTCTCCTCTTCTCTCTCTCTCTCTCTCTCTCTCTCTCTCTCTCTCTCCTCTCTCTCTCTCTCTCTCTCTCTCTCCCTCTCTCTCCCTCTCTCTTTCTCTTTTACACAAGGTTTAACAAGGTTAGGTTAAATTTCCTAACTTTATTTACAAGCTAATAACTATTACCTACATCAGCTCTATAACTCTCTCCCTCCCTAACTCCCTCCCCCCTCTCTCTCTCTTTACACAGGGTTTGACAAGGTTAAGGATTCTCTCTCTGCTAAACACTCAACACGGGTCTGAAGGCGAGATTTAAGAATTTATGAGAAAAAGGACGAATCTCTAGATTACATATATAACAGTGTAACAACTTCAACAGAGGAAATTTTATCTAAGCAAGTCGGACTCCATTTAAGGGAGTAGAGTAACGTAAGACTGGAACGAGTCTGACAGTGAGGCGATGGAGGAGGAGGAGGAGAAGGAGGTGGGCGAGGCAAGAGGGGGGGAAGAGGGGAAGGGGTGAGCAAAAGAGGGGAGAAGAGGGGAAGGGGTGAGCAAAAAAAGGGGAGAAGAGGGGAAGGGGAACAAAAGAGGGAGAAGAGGGGAAGGGGGGAGCAAAAGAGGGGAGAAGAGGGGAAGGGGGGAGCAAAAGAGGGGAGAAGAGGGGAAGGAAGGAGCAGACATGAAAAGAAGACAAAAATTTTCTGTCCTTCTGCAGTATAACTATATCATTTACATAAACACATAAGAAGGAGCACTGCAGAAGGCCTACTTGCCCAAGCTAGTCACAAGTCACTATGACTTTGTTAAGCCATAAAAGTCTTATTGGTTGCACTTATGTTATTTTACCTAATATCTAATTAGGTAACCAATGGGACCTAAAACTGAACCTAATTTAGGCAGCTGGTAGACTAGTCCAGCTGGATGAAACAGAAGTTATTATTCACGGATGTCCACAGAATACTCACAACAATAGACTAATGAATCATGATCAAAGCCTTTCTGATATTGTTGGATTATCCTAAATAATTAACACTATGTATGATAATTGTACTTAGGCCTGGTCTCAGACCAACCTACGGGGGCGTTGACCCCTGAAACCCTCTCCAGGTATACTCCAGGTATACCTGTGCTTAAAAAATCCTACTGATTTACAGCTCTCAATTCTAACCCCTCTTTGCGCAGGCAAAGGCACAACAGTCTGCTTGTTCACCGCCTTTCAGGCCGCCTACACCGCCCACAAAACGGAATCGGAGTATTGTAGAGCTAACAGTGAGTTTAACAAGACCGTCTCTCCGAGCTCTCTACGTGGACACGTTGAACGTTGCATGTTGTGTTCCCGGTGTATTTACTAACGAAGTCACTAACGAGATCTGTGTTTGCGTTTGAAGGGAGCGAGCGTGTGTGTGTGTGAATTGCCAGGCTTTTACTTATCTGTGTTTGCAAGGTGTGGACGATAGCTCCTGGGCTCACCTATATCGATCAAATGACGTGGCTTAAGCCAGTTAAATTCTTTGTTTCTCTCTCTCTCTCTCTCTCTCTCTCTCTCTCTCTCTCTCTCTCTCTCTCTCTCTCTCTCTCTTATAGTGATTGACATTTTATATCGTGATTTCAAGGCTTTTTCCTCAACACATCCTTGTAACTCAGTAACAGAACGCTCAGTTTTTTAACCGAAGGCACCCGGGTTCGATTCACTGCACTTGTTCACTTAGCAGTAAAAATATACGTGGATATTGTGGGCAGCATCCTGCATGATAAACAGGGAATAAGAAAACATCACCAAGATACACTCTGTTGAAGGAAAACGTCTATTGCTACATTACTACTGCAACGTTTCGCCCAGGAGTAGACTTTGTCAAGCTCTTTGAGGTCAAATTAGAGAGTGGTCACATTAGAGGTCAAAGGACGAGGTAAAGGGAAAGGTCCATGCTTGAAGAGGTCAGGAGTGAGGAGATGAGGTCAGAGGAGAGGTCAGGAGTGAGGAGGAGGTGAGGTCAGAGGAGAGGTCAGGAGTGTTGAGGTGAGGAGCCCTGGATAGGTAACATTTTTAAGTGATACGTTTATTCAGCATGTACATCCCCTCCCCCTATTCTGCTCTATGGTGTCAATAATATAAAAGATGGTTGTCTCTAGGTTCCTCAAGGTTGGTACTGTCGTGCTGTTGGCACCATCCATCCTGTACACATTGTTGGCACCATCCATCCTGCACACATTGTTGGCACCATCCATCCTGTACACACTGT